ACCTCAAGACGCTCTCCTCCTCTCTAGCTCTTTAGCTATTCTCTCCTCCTTTGTGGTAGCTTAAGATCTCTTCTCCCTTGCTCTCCTAGGCCTCACACCCTCTCTATTTATAGAAGAGGTAGGTGAGCGGTAGGTGAGCGGTAGGTGAACAGTAGGTGAGATGTGGTAGGTGAGCGGTACCACATTACAAGAGTGCCCTTTTACCTTAGTTCATTAATTGAGGGTCAAAATAACATTAATGAATGACATTAATTAATATTTATTAAATTTCGACAATATGTGCAAAGGTTTATTGGAAACTTTGATGTAATGTACATTTTTTGTCGTAATCATGGCTGATATAACCCAATATTAATATGATGGAGTGCTGGTAGAATGTCAAATTCGTTAATTAGGAAATGTTTGGACTTTTCCAAAAAAAAAAAGTCTTGAAGAGCTCATATATATGGGAATGCTAAGTTGGTACGTTTGTTCAAGGAAAAAATATTACGTTCGGACGACCAACCATCGGCGTCATATTGCCTGCCGATGATATGTATGACGACGTGACCGCCGGTGGTTGGCCGGCTGGACATGCGGTGTCTGGACGGAATATTTTCTCCTCTTGAAGACATCTCTTAAATAAATCTCTCTAAATGTCTTTAATTAATATTTTAAGAGTGTGCATTCGGTTGATTACGATAGAATGATTGATAGCTTTCTTAAACTATTTGAACTAAATTAATTTATAGGCAAAATCGACCAAATCATAAGTAAATTGATTCAAATCCAAATGTAATATAGTTAAACTATTTAGTTTAGATTTGATTCAATAGATAAAAAAAAAAGTAAAAAAATATTTATTTTGAAAATGCAAAGGCTAAAATAAAATATGAAAATGTCACACCTATATGTATATGGATGCATGAATGTATGTTAAACTAATTTACAGGCTACAACAGTTAGTAAGTATGGCAATATAACTATTTAATGTCTTAGCATTGTACAAGTAATCCACATATATACCAATACAGGAGAATAAACACACAGAAACCACTCATCTTTGAATTAGAGAATATGGGTTACAAAAGTACACAACACAAGCTTGATCAATTGTAGTTGTAGCTAAAAAATTCGAAGATTATAGTGACGTGTAGAGACGACAATCAATTGATTATGACACATGACCAAAGTTAATCAGAATAAAATAGTTTGATGATAGTGAATAAGTGATTACTATTAAATGAAAGACAATCAAGTGACATTAATTGGCTAGTAATGATTGGACGGCTAGTAATGATTGGACGATGGTGGATATGCAAAAAAATAAAAAAAATAAAAAATAAAATTATCGCACAATATGATAGTTGAACTACTATGATTGCTAGTTGTTATCATCAATATCGGTCGTCAGACAAAATTGTAGAGTTTATCAACATATCTCTAAACTCTCAATGAGTCCCAAATCCCTTCATATGGATAGTGGGGTTGTATTTATGGTCGGTTTGGTTATATTTATACATTACTTGGTGGTATCTTGATAACCAAAGCAAAATTTCTAAAGCATTCCATCATATAGTTCATAGTAATTTGTATTAATTCCCTCAAAATTGAGTTCCCTTAGGATTGTTGCAGTTACATATCTTATTGAATCGCTCACTTTGACTTTAAGCGCACAATTAGGGTGGAGTATTTGGTTCTTTCGTTGGCCTTCCAAACTTCAAATTCAAAATTTAAGTACTTGAATTGGGTCTAGTTTGATCTGATCAGCCTTTTTTTACTATGTTCGGTTCATCTGGTTAAGAAGATTTGCTTGACTATAAATTTGTTTAAATTAACGGTTGGATAGTCCTAAAGCTATCCTTTAAATTTTTAAATTCAAAATTGCTTCGAGTTCAAGTGAAAATTTGGATTATAAATGTATGTATATATATAGCTTAACCATCGATTATATAAGCGACGCAAGTGTGCATTGAAAGAGTGATGTACTGCTGTCAGAAAACTGTCACTATTCCGCCGGCAAAATTTTGCTCAATTGTCGGTTGATTGTGAGAATTTATCGATTGTTTTGTTTGCATCAAAAGTGCAACACTTTGTTCAGACGTCACTTGTTCAATAAGCTGTCGGAAAAATGTCAACATATAATCAAGAGATCGTAAAATCGTCAAATTCTTGCACCATCAGAAAACAAAATTAAAACATTCTTTCAATGTTACATTCTACACACCTGCAAACATAACTATGCAATCAAAACACAACAAGACACAGTAACAAAACTAATTAATGCATAAATTATATATATAAATAAAAGAAAAATAATTGAATTAAATAAAACGATATGTACGGATGCACAATAAAAATAATGTTTGTTAACAATAATTTGTTTGATGCACAAACAAACAAAAAAAGAACCACTTACTCATCGTGCTCATCCTCCAATGTCCTCTCCTCATCATCAATTATGGGTGCGCTCGTGTAAATATGCAACACTTGGCTTCCTTCCTTTCTCCAGTATATGTCAATGTAATGGAATAGTTATCATACATTTAATGTAAAAAAAAAAAAACAAATTAATACAAGAAAATAAATCTTTGTATGTGGAAACGCTCCATTGGTGTGCTCCGAGGCCCCAACAGTTAGAGCAGCGATTCATCTTTACCTGCTTCATCATCCTCTGATACTCAGGAGAGTCTCGTGTCCTAAGCTGTGCGGCAAACATATCCTTGCCCAGCCACAAGAGGCATTCATGTGTCCGGCGTATATCGCCAAATTGGTTGTGCGGATGTTTGCTCACTTTGTGCTCAAAGTTTATGTAGATGTGTGCTTCCTCCTCAGGGTGTCATAACCATTATTTATGTAAATTGAATTAGAAATTATTAGATTCATAAAAATAAATACATAATTGTAATTGTTATGTAAAATGTTTACCTTAAAATCTCCAAATCATATCTTCTAAATTATTATCGAGATCTCCCTCCAAGATAAGTACAGGTGGTCATACTTGCTCTGCATTATATCTCTGATTGAATGGATGGCTTGTGTGAGGAATTAAATCTGAAAATAACATATGATCTATTGTCAATTAAATTTTAAAAATTTAAAGAAGCAATGTCAATATTAAATTAAAATTTATGTGTTCCCCACAGCTGGGAGCTGATGACAGCTGCTCGTGTTGCTCGAGCTGAACTACGCATCAATACCGACGGTTTTGGTGGTATATAACAGAGAGTCAAGATTTCAAATGGCACAACAATTACAACGTTCTGTAACGGCTGATTAGCTATAAAAGAAAGCAGAAGAATGAATCCAGTCAAGATTATATAAATCAAATGACTGGAAAGGAGCCACTAAGGGTAAGGGTCAAATCAAAGCAGCAAGCATAAAGCCTAGTTTGAAGAGATAATCTCAATTCCTAGCGGAGTCTTCGTATCTTTTTGTTATTTTGATGCACTTGGAATAAGTGGCGGGAGGGGGAAAAAGCAACGGTCGCCGATGGGAGCTGTGAGCTCGTCAGTGAGAGGTTTACTGTACATGATAATGTGAGTGGAACAGTGGGGTTGCAAGTCTTCTACAAACACAGAGAGAATAAGAGCGCACAATGGAAATGAGTGTTGTTGGTGGGGTTTGATGGCCTTGGGCTGCTCATTGGTATAGAAGTTCACCGGTGGGTTCGTCGCAGAGGGAACATGTGACTCCTGATTATGTTGATAGGAAGAGAAGGCAGAGCGAGAACAAGAGATATAGAAACCTACTTAAATGAGTGTTGTTGGATGCGGGACAGTGGTGATCCGACTGTAATGAGGCCTAGGTGGCGATGGTATGACATCAACAACGGTGGTGGCTGAGCAAATATGGTTTGATGATGGCCGTGACTGCGGTCTGATTGCTGCGATGGTGATCCGGCTCGTCCACAATGGTTTGACTCAATGGAGGTGGTCCAACGATGATAACGATAGCGGCCAAACAATGGTGATCTAACAACAACGATAACCCAATGATGCTGGTCTAGTGGTGGTGACTGTAGTGGCCAAGTTGAATTGGGTCGGGGCGGCAACAATATGATGGCGGTGGTTCTACAACGACAATGCTAGTGATTGGGTAGCAGTGGTCATTTGATGACGACAAACCAAAGACGGCAGAGCACTAGAACCCTCAAGTGCTTGGAGCTCTTTTAGCCTCCCATTCCCTTTTTCATGAAGAAAATGGAGCACTACTGCAAAAATCCAAACCAGCCCATCGTACAAACTGAAATATTGTCCTTGATCAGGTGATGTTTTAGGGGCATTTAAGTGCCTTAATGATGTCCGAATTAAGCGATCTTAAGCTCATTTGATTCATCTCATCAAATCGCTCGATTTTATTTTGAACTTAACAAATTTGATATCATGTAATCCCTTAAAACATATCTCAAAGATTTTTATTATGTTTTAATTGCATGATGTGGGCTCGTTTGAATCCGATTAAGCTATATTTGATATCAACTGGCTCATCTTATCAAGACACTTCATTTGAATTGTAATATAAATAATAAAATAATTAGAACTCTCTGTTAAGTGAATGAGGATGGAGAGTTTTATCATTATTATTATTACTTATTTTTTATATGGCCATTAAGTGCAGATCGCAATGAAAACGTTGTTGATCTGACATTCTTTTGTTTTTTGATCAGAGACGGTTGGAAAAATATGTAAGACTAAACTTAATTTAATTGTAATTTAATAAACTAATTACATATTTATAGAATAATTTTGTTTAACTAAACAGAAAAAAAAACTTTTTTTATATTAAACTAATAAATAAATAAAATAATCATTTTATATAATATACATATAGTTTCTAAAAAAATTCATTGTTGCGTGTTATGAGTTATTTCCCTCATTATCGTGGTTGAACCAAGGTAAAGTGGGTCTTTTTGACATTTCAGATGGATCTCAGCCGTCCGTTTCGTGATGGGATGACGTTTGGTATATATATATATACATGTACATATACATGTATATAGTAATATGTAGATCGTCGAGGAAGCGATTCCTCGCCTGGATCTACGACAGAACGTCGGGAGCGAAGGTGGAGAGCGAGCAATGGGAGTTCCTGAGGCAATAGAAGACCTAACGGAGAAGACGAGCTTTCTGAGAGAATCACTGCATAAGAGTCAGGCGATCACAGAGACAATGGTCACCATCCTTGGCTCATTTGATCACCGTCTTTCCTCACTCGAAGCAGCCATGCGCCCCACACAGGTCTCTTGTTTTGCACTCTCATTCTATCTGGTAGATCCTCTGGATTTGGAAATTGATGGTGGCGGGGTTTTTTGGGAGATTCAGCTGGGGTTTCGTGTCACAGCTTATTGGTTTCCTTGAGAATGGTATGGGATTCATGGGTTCTTTGTGATTCTGGTTCATAAAACATTGTTTTAGGTTCGGACGCATGCTATCAGGAGGGCACACGAGAACATCGACAAGACATTGAAATCTGCGGATGTTATACTGGCCCAGTTTGATCTCAAGCGCAAGGTTTTGCTAATTTTTGCTTCATTTCATTTTTTTTTTTGGGATGTGATCTTTATTTACATTGTCAAATGCTGTTTTTGCTATTTTTTTCGAAGAAAAAATAATGATTTATCGACACTTTCCTCTGCATTACTTACGAGGACACTTGGTGATTTATACAATTAACAAGTTACAGTTATTTCTTGGTGTGACAATCTAAATCTTAATTTATATGAAAAAGCATACAGCCATAAGTTTCAGTTTAGTATGGAAAGGGGCTGGCTAAAGTGTAGATACCTTGCATTTTGTGGCATTGGGCATTGCAACTAGTGTTAGGGCCTGACCTTCTGTAATACGAGCTAAAGAAAAAGATGAGCCAACTCCAAATAGGGCAGTTTGATGAGGTTGATGGCTGTTTGGGTGATTTCTTTGGTTGAGGCTTAGATTAGGCGTGGCCCCAGGCAGGCTTCTAGGATGACGAATTTCTAGTAGAAAACCAGTGCATGAAGGAACTAAATCCCACCTCACAAATAGAAGAAGGGATATAATATATATAGATGGAAATATTTACATACATACCATATAATTCATACGTATTTACATATCTAATACCAAAATCCAATTTTTACATACATGCTACCTTACCCATGCACAAAAAGCTGTTTTTCACTTTTTAAAATTTAAAATGGTGATACTTTTTGTTTGATATGAAAGATTGGGTGGTATAAATGTAAGAATTAAAGTTTAGGTGTTAGGTAAACAGAGGAATTGGGTGGTATGTATTTAAATGCCCCAAAAAAAAAAATGGTGGAGTAAGGATTACCGGGTTATTTAAGTAAAGAGTTTGGCCATAATATGTTAAAGTTGATGCCTTCTGGTATATAAAGTGAACTTTTTCTTAAGAACTTCTGGGATAAGTGGCCCCTGAGAAGTGACTCGAACAAAAATAAAACAGTGGGTGTCAGCCTGACACGAGATAAATTGGGCCAAATGAACATTATCTTACGCAGTATGGTATAAGGTATTATACTTGATACTGACATGATTATTCTACACTTTTTCTGCTATGTTTTGTGCATTATATATTTGAAGAAATTGCAACTAAACTTTAAAAAAAAATGCTTGAAACTACTAAGCTTAAAATTGTTGTCGATGATTAACAACTCATGCTGACTTACAAGTCCCAATGGATGTAATAATTTGAGTTTCATGAGTATGTGGCCTATTTGATTCAAAATATATTATGTTATTTTTTCTATTGAAAATGTAGGCCGAGGCGAAGATTCTGAGAGGTCCACATGAGGACTTAGAAAGCTATTTGGAGGCAATAAGCCAGTTGAGAAGTATTGTTCAGTTTTTCAGCTCTACTAAAGGCTTCAAGGGCTCTGATGGGGTGCTTAACCATGCCAATGCATTGCTCTCAAAGGCAATTGTGAAGCTTGATGATGAATTTAGGCAGCTCCTATCTACCTATAGGTTTATTCAACAGCACTTTATACTGACATGTTTTCTCTAAATTTATTTTTCTAAGGAATAAGATGCTTGTTTTTAGTTCGTTTGAAAATTCTCTTGAATATTTCAGAAAGTGTCTAATGAAGAAATAACAATATTTCTTATTAATTTAATTTACTTGGAGACAAAATTGCATGACCGATAACCTCCATGTTCATTCCTTTTTTGTTCTATCAGCAAGCTTGTGGAGCCAGACTATCTTTTTGACTGCCTTCCTAGTTTTTTGAGGCCTACAGCTAGTTTATTCGCTGAGCAGGGCGAGGGAGGAAAGAATCTCTTCTCTGCCAATTCTGATCAGCAAGCCCAAAACTTAGAGACAGCCATATACAAACTTCCAATCCTCATTCCTCCAAGGGTTTTACCTTTGCTGCATGACCTGGCGCAGCAGATGGTTCATGCTGGAAAACAAGACCAATGCCTAAAATTTTATTGGTACAACCTTCAAATGTTACTTTACTTTGTTTATCCCAGTTTTGTTTTGAAGATTTGCATGCATGCCACTGAATTCCTAGGTATTTACATATATAACACCTAAACTTCAATTTTTTACATATATGCCACCTTACCTATGCATGGAAAGATGCATGTCGCTTTTTAAAAGTTGAAATAGTGATATTTTTGATGTGATATGAAAGATTTGGGCGTTATGAATGTAGAAAAGCAAATTTTAGGTGTTGTATAAATACATGAGAATTGGGTGGTATGTATGTAAATGCCTTGGTTAAAGCTTCTTGCTATTGTTGCTGTTTAGGACTGCATGAAAATCCGAGGACACGAGGACCTGCTTAACTTGATGTGTTTAATGTTTATTTATATTGGCAGCAAAGAGGATGGATTCTTATCTTATATGGCATGGATTAAAAAGCTGTTGATTTTACCATTTTGGTAGTCATCTGGTTAGAGGATTTAGGCTGGGCTATGACTAGGAATTAGAAGACCTGCAAATTAGGAATTACAAGACCTGCACTAGCTTGGATGTAAGTTCTCAAGTGATCGGAGATGTTAGAATTCATTACTAATAGATACTCTAGAAAGGAGGGATTAATGAAGGTCGACTAACAAGTTGAACCGATGGATGATTTATAATAAATCACATATTATTTTGATTGTTGAACAAATAATTTCATTAGTATTGTCACTTGGGGAAAAAAGAAGGATTTGAAATCTGATTCTTAAGTATCTGACTCGCTTTTTCTACTACCAATTGTATTATGTTCATGCAGTGTTCTAACAAAGTATATGGATGTTGCATTGAGAGAGAGTAACATTCTGTAATCTTCAAGCTTTGAGTCAAGCAACGTCTATAAATGCTGGAGTAAGATATTATAGATGAACCTTCCTCCTGACCTTTTTTGATTGTTGCGGGACGCCCGGGTGGGGGTGCTGATTTTATCTTCTTGTTTAGAGTTTTGAATTTTCTTGTGCTTTTGTGTATGGTCGGTCGGACTAGGTGTTACTTCGACGAATTTCTAATTTGTTCATTAATTCTCTAGAATTGTCTACTCGTACCTTGTAGTTCTGATGAAATGATTTAGTTCCAGATTATTTATATTTTTTAGCTCTTTTCCTGGTTGGGGTCACACACATTGACATCTCTTAAGAAGGAGTGATGCTTGTGTTAGTTCTGTAACATGCTTTAATAGTAGAAAGATTTATACATGCATACCCCACAATTCTTATGTATTTAAATATCTAACACCTAAACTTCAATTTTTACATATATGCCTCCTTACCCTTGCATGAAAGGTGTATTTCACTTTTAAAAAGTTAAAATGATGATAATTTTGTTGCGATATGAAAGATTTGGGTGATATAGATGTAAAAAGTAAAGTTTCAGTGGTAGATAAATACATAGGAATCTGTTGGTATGTATGTTTATTCCCATGCCCCAAACATGCTTTATTGTCAAAATGCAATTATCATGTCAGTGGGTTCAACAAAGGTCCATCCTTCTCTCCTTTCAACCCCAATAATAGGTAGAATGTTAGTCTAATTTCTTTTGCATAGCTGATTCTTTGTTATGGAATAGTGTAAAATTGGAAAAGTTATCGTTCGTTTTTCTTGGAAGCTGGTATTCTCAGATCATGTGACCATGAGTTTGTTCATGGTTCTTATCATACTCATGTTATGATTAATATAGAAGAATTTGACAGGAAATGATATTTCTTGTTCTGTACATGTTTACAAACTATTGTTGATAACTTATTTTTATCATGGATTTTTTGGAATACTCATTTTCTTTGGCTCATGGTCTTCTGAATGAAGCCCGTCAATAAAGTTATAGTTGCAAAAATTGATATGAAACGTTGGATACTGTAAAATTACTACTTTGTTTTTTTAAGTTTCAGAAAGGCCACCCAAATTGTTCATATCACATAAAAATACCATCATTTTAACATTTCAAAAGTGAAATACACATTTTTATGCATAGGTAATGTGGTACGCATGCAAAAATTGAAGAAATACATAGGAATTAATTGGTTTGTAGTTGAATCTTCCTCGTTTCCTTGCTGAACACTGGTTCTTTGTTTGAGTGGTATTTCCTTATGCTGAATCAATATACAATCAAACCGAAGCATTTGTTGACTTTTCTGTGCAACTTTGCAACTTTCTTCTTGTACATTTGGATTTCAGTGAAACGCGTTCTTCAGCTTTAGAATCTAGCCTCCGGAAACTTGGAGTGGAAAGGCTCAGTAAGGATGATGTGCAAAGGATGCCCTGGGAGGTTTTAGAAGCCAAAATTGGAAACTGGATTCACTATATGCGCATTGCTGTAAGCTTTCATCTTTATATAAATGATAAATTCTGTAATTTTACTTTCAATTTTTTGATCGTACTTGAAACAGGTCAAACTCCTATTTGCTGCAGAGCGAAAAATTTGTGATCAAATTTTTGTTGACACTAATGTCAAGAAGGATCTATGTTTTGCTCAAGTAACCGCAGATAGTGTATTGATGCTGTTCAGTTTTGGGGAGGCTATTGCTAAAAGCAAGAGGTCACCAGAGAAATTGTTTGTGCTTCTAGACATGTATGAAATAATGCGTGAGCTTCAGTCAGAGGTATGCTTAGCTGCTGACTTATCTAGTGCAAGTTCTGCTATTCATCATTTTTTTAATTTGGGTGCTGGTGCTGTTTTATTTACGCGGAGGATGAACATTTTTATGCTGTTTATTGTTAATTATGAATGAGAGCTTTCTCTCTCTTTCTTCATTTAAAGCTTGAAAGCTGCAGCAGCATTGACTGAGCTTCAACTATATTGGAAACTATTTCAAACAATGCAACCTTTTTCAAGAAATTTTTATATCTTTTGGATGCCAATGTGGTCTCTTTGATCCTGATGGGAATGGGGTGATTTGTGGTTATAGAGGGGGTTATCACCTTAGATCACTGAGATTTGAGACTTGGTTAAGCTCTTCTTACATTTTTATTGTTATTCAAGTTACTTCGAGTAGTTATTGGATCTATATCTTGGTGTATCTGGGTCTTTCACTTGCAACATATGTCACAATAGGCCCATTTATATCATCTTACGTGCTAGCTTATTTGTAGAACACAAATTTACTGGAAGCAGACAAATATCTCTCTAGATTCTGTCAATAGGGGACAAAACTGGTTGAAGTTCGTAATATTTTATTCGCCCAAATCAGAGCAGAGCCTTACCTATTATGTACATTGTCAGTAAATGTGTAATGCCTGATTTTTAATTTCCTTTGTAATGTTGGCGTTATAAGGAGGCGGAGAAGTGTATGGGTTCGTACATTAAGAAGAGAACAAGTGAAGCAGAAACGAGCTTGGTTCCAAAATAAAGAGAAAGTTGATGGAGATGGAGTCTAAAAAGGGCGAGCGCTACGTCCAGGTGAGCTTAAGCACCGATCGAAGAAAGAGACAAGGGGATGTATTTGTACGAGGGTTGTGATTATGAAAATTGAGCTGAGGGCGTTGAAGTCGCACAAAGCGAGAAGAGATCGTCAAATGAGAGGAGGGAATGTCAGAAGCCTTGCGAATGGGACGTGGGCTGGCTGTAGTGTGATCGAGCACATCCGTGCGGGAAAAGCAGCCTAATGGGCCGGTTCGATCACGAAGAGGAAGAGAATGAAGGGCCTGTGCGGGAGACTGAACCAAGCGGTGTGTGCGGTAGAAGAAAGAATTGGACCGAGCCATTTAATAAGGTCAGGGTTTGTTTATATCTTTTAAGTTTTATTTTTCGTTAAATTGAATTTATATTAAAACATTACTATTGATTTTATGCAAATTAAAATTAGAAAGCACTAAAGAAAGAAATATTCAGATTTGAGACCGAGTGGATCATTCTGCAGGAAAATGCTAAATTAAATTAAAGTTTGATTTTTTTTTAATTTAAATTTAATGTTATTAAATTTCAATATGAAATTATATTAATTTATTAGACCGAAGGCCAATCAATTCTAAAATATTTAGAGATAGGGAGTATGCGAGTTATGCAAGTTAAGTTAAGTAATTATATTTTTAAATTAGAATAACTTTTTTGAAGCTATTTCTAATTTTAGTTTCTCTTTTTTATGTTCTATGTCAATAAAATTAAATTACAACTAACTCTTCATTTAGATAGACACGAGATATGCATGTAAGCATTCTTGCATATGTAAGCATTCTTGCATATGTAGTGACTCAATAGTTTTATTTTTCATAGAAGAATATTAGTTTTGATACACCATCAACAAATTTCCAATATCCAATATGAATCTCAAGGTATGATACTTATATTGAGGTAATCTTTTGAGCAAAAATGTTCAAACTTTTATTAAGAATCATCCAAAGCTCCAATTTCAGTGAACTTATAGTCAAACAGATCGATTCAACCAGACTTACTCAATAACAACAAAATTGGTCAAATCCGAGTCAAATCAAGCTCAAATCAAACAATTAAACTATTTTCAAAGTTTTTTAAGTGTATTTAGAAGGTCAAATGAATGCCTAATTTAGTGAGCTTGTAGTAGAATGAAACTTCCTGATAAGACGAATCCAACGAGCTCAAGTTCACTTAATTCCAATATCGTTAATAAACTTAAATGTCCATCAAAATTCGTCTGATGGAGGGAATTTTTCTTGATCGTCTGATCAGAGTGACTCATATTCATTCATTAATTGCAACTACGACTCTGTAAATAGAGCTTTACCTCTCTCTTGAAAATGGTGGAGGGAGCTTGAAGCTTGCAGAAGACTGAAGTTTGGAGGAGCTGAAGTTGCCTTATACTCCTACAGCAACCGACCACCACTCATCAGGCGCCACCGCCCACTCCTTGCAACAAAACATAATATGAAACTAAACTGATGTCGCAGAGTCATGAAGCAACCAACGATACGATGCACCTTCCCGTGCACCAGGTTGACCTCCGAAGATGGTGTAACAATGTATCTCACATGCGCTTGTGCAACTCCCAACTCTGGCCCCATTACCCATGAAAGTCATTACAACTCACTACTAAAACTTATGTAATCAACTATGACCTACGTCCACAACTTATGCAACTTCTATCTCCGACCTTCGCGGTCTACGAATTTCTTTACAACTCTCATCATTCCACAACTTATGCAACTTCTATCTCCGACCCTCGCGGTCTACGAATTTCTTTACAACTCTCATCATTACGACCTACGTAACCAACTACGACCCATGCAGTTAACAACTCATGTAGTTTCCGACTTCGGCCTCCGTGGCTTATGGACGTTATTACAACTCACCACTACGACCCACATGACCAACTATGACCTACGTGGTCCATAGCACGTGCAACTCCTAACTCTGGCCATTTCGGCCTACGGATGTCATTACAACTTACCACTGTAACCTACGTGACTAACTATGACCTACGTGGTTTACAACTCGTGCAGCTCCAGCATCGACCCTATGACCTACGATGCTGTTGCAACTTACCACTATGACCTACATGATCAACTATAACCTATATGACCAACTATAATCTACATGGTTCACAGCTTGTGCGACTCTCTATTTCAGCTCTCGTGACCTGCAGACGTCATTACCACTCACCACTATGACCGACAATACCAACTACGACCTACATGGTCTAGAGTTAGCGTAGTTCTCGACTCTGGCTTACGTGACATATGAACGTCATTGCAACTAACCACTATAGCCTATGTGGTCCATAGTTCGTGAAACTTCTGACTCCGGTTCCCGCGACCTATGAATGTTATTATAACTCATCACTACGACCCACATGATGCACACTTCGTGCAACTTCTGACTCTGGCATTTGCGGCCCACAGACGTAATTGTGGCTTACTGATATGTTGATAATTTTTGTATATGTTGTTACTTATATTATTGTATTTTTATGTTGATACTGCAATTTTAGGAATATTTTATGTTGTTTTTGCAGGTTGTAGCAGAAAAGAGGATGAACGGAATGGAAATGGATTTGAATCAGAACCAAGGAAGCTAAAAGATGTTATGGTGCCTAAGCGCAAGAAGTTGGCGCCTAGGCGCCAGAACCAGTGATTTTGGAGTCAAATTATATAGTAGATGGAAATCCGATGCTGGACTTGTAGCGCCGGGGTGTTGTAATTGGACCATTGGGGTGCCATCTTGTGGCACCTAGAGGCTAGACTTTCGGAAGATTTCCCAAGTGCTCGGAAACCCAACATTGTATTCGAAGCGCTGGGGCGCCAGAAGAGCAACGATTAGGCGCCATGACATTAGTGCCAAGGCGCTTTAGTTTAACGAATAATGGCGCCCTAGTGCCACTTATGGGCGCTCCGACACCTATACTCGAAAATTGGCAATTATGGTAGTTCAAAACTTGAGTTTGGGGAGAGATGTAGAAAATGCTTGATCACGAATTAATGAGGGTTTGTTTATGATTTTTCTTCTGTCAATTCTAAAGGGTGAATTTTGGAGAAAACCACACGAGTTACAAGGAGATTAAGAGAGAAGAAGTTTATTGCTTGCTATTGGAGACATCTTTGTCTAGCTTTATTATGCAAGAGATAAGTACAATTAAGTTGTATTTTCTTCAGGTTTTCTTTATAAACACTTGGTTTTGATGTTTATTCATAATACTAAGTTTGTGTTGATGAAAGTTGCTATGAATAGTAAGTAGTTTACTTGATTCTCTCTTTAATTATGAAGGTGATTGGATATGACTAAAAGTTTGAGATTGCTACAATTGATTTGATTTTGAGTGTGTTGAGGTTGTGAACTTAATTTACCTTCTGCCTGACCTGTGGATTGTTAAAACCTATCGTGAATATTAAGATCCGGAAGAATCCTGTATGGAACAAAAAAGTTAATCACTTAAATTCATTGGAATAAGGATATGACAAATGAGTTTAAGCAATCTTTTAGGGATATTTTCTTTTGGACATATTGAGAGTTTTAGGGAACTTTGCGATTGCTAATCTTCCTTAGTCCACCGGAAGGGGATAAGGAAGAATTTTTCTCTTAATTGACACTGTTTTTGAATCTACTCCTTAATTCTATCCATCATTTGATTAATTAAAGAGGGAAATCTTTAATACTTGAATTTTCTACAAGAACCTTTTGCTTGCTAGGATATAATTGCTTTTTAAATTTAGGGGAGATAAACAATTGAATTAGTAAATTAAACTTTTTAGGCATAGGCTGAAAATAGTAGGTTCGAATTTTTCCTTGATTAAGGTTTCATCGTTCTCTGTGGGATCGACCATCAGACTCAAACTTGGTATTATTGATAAACCACGTATAATTGTGTGAGCAGTTCGTGCTTCGCAGCACTTGGTGCGTGCCAAGTTTTTAACACCTTTGCCGTGGAATGACCTTGAATTTGATTTAGGTAAATTTTAGTTGAGCTTGTACTTTTTGACTTGAAAATTGTATTGTCTTTTGTTCTCTGTATTTATTTGTTGTTTTGTTTATAAAATTTCAAAAATCCCTTGTTTATTATTTGCTTTATTGTGCACGGGATTCAAAATCCTCTATTTAATATTTGTGGTGCGCTTTTATTTGTTTGTTTGTTCTCTTTTGCTTAGAATCACTTTGCTAGTGAACCTAGTAGGTTATATGCGTAGTGCAGGGTTG